CAGCGATGATATTTGAAGCAAATAAGTGTTATTCAAACCGATTGGTCCATAACTAACCCTCGTGCTAATAACCCCTCTTACTAAAACAGCTTATAGTTATAAAAATTAGACAAACAATTTTTTTTTTAAATTAAGAGCTCAGTCCGTAATTGACTTTACGCATTAAAAGCCCTTTTCCTTATGTTACCCTAATGTTCAAGTTTATATCGATATACATATAACTGGGCCACTCTAATGTTTAGTAAAAGAATTCACATATATTATATATAAATTTGTGTTAACAATGTTAATTAAATATTTAATTTAACATTCACAATAAAAACAAAATTTAAATTGAAATTTTTTTGTAGTGATTGGGCTCTAAATTAAACTATATTTTTCGAAAAGCATCTGGTTTGACAAATATTCACATAGCAAACACTTTCAAATACATTGATATGTATGTATGTACATTTGAATATGTCATAAACACACTTTTGCAAAACAAATATATTTTAAAATTTGGAATTGTATAAGAAATGAATTCAATTTTTATTATTTTAAACATAATTTAAATTATTTACAAATGTATACTTACTCATACATCACTACATACATACATATGTATATACATAAAATAAACAATGAATAAAGCACGTGATAATTTTTACAAATAAAATTTTTTAAAAATTTATGTACATTTATAAAAAAGAAACAAAACATAAAAAAACTGAAATGAACTTTGATCCAATTTTATTTTTATTGATTTTCTTTTCCATTCTTAAAACTCATGTCACTTTATTTGGACAATGCTTTTTTATTATTGTTTGTGTTTGGGAATTTTTGATTTATTCTTTTCAATTTCGTTTTTTTTATATTTTAAATATTAATAAAAAGCGTAATAATTTGGCTTTTATTGCATTGATATTCTCTTACTAACTGATACATACATTGCATACATACGCAAATTTGCATACACAGCTACATACATATGAAACTTTTGTATTGCACCATTGTACATGATGGCATTTCCTTTTTGAACGTTTCCTATTTTTTGTTTCCTTTTTTCTTACTTTAACTTGTTTACCATTCGTATGAGTGATGATCAATCATATTTTGCACGACATTTGCTGCACCAAAATAATTTTAAAACAAAGAATAATAAAAAATAAAAATATGCAAAATAAATATTGTCTACTTTTTTATATTCTACCACCACAAGATGTTTTATTGTCTCAGCACCTGTTTTTTAAATAAAATAAATAAAATGCACAATATTTTTTTAATTTAAATTTTAAGACTTTATATTTTTGAGTTATTTTTTCTTTTTCAAAAGATGGTTTGTTTATGATTTTGGCATTTTAATGTAACACCTTTTTGAACGTTTCCTTTATTTTTCCTATTTTTACTTGGTTTGATATTTTTTTCATTTTGATAAATTGCACTTTCTGCATTTGAACGCAGCGCTAGGTGCGGCGCCCTTCACAGTTGTATGTTTGGTTTTTATATTAATTCAAATACGCGTAAATCCTCATTATGGGGCATTGTTGTTTATGTGTCATGCGGTCGTCCACTCTGACAAACACTAACATGTATTTTGCGGTTGGATAAATGCAACAAATCATCTGCGTGGTCAAATTATAGTAAATACGCACAAACTCACCCGTCTGCACAATATATACCCAACTGACCATATATTAAAGGAATACTTAACGTTATGTGAGAAATCGACGATGACTTTTCCGAAAAAGTTTTAAAAAATTCAAAAATTTTATAGTTGATATAACTATAACTTAATGGTATAAACCGTTATTGGCGAAATCGACATAGATTATGTCGCTTACGAAAACTTGGCTTACTGGACATAATCCATTATTTTTTATTGTATGTCAATCAAATCATATTTGACCACTTTAAAGATTTGTTTGTTTATTTTCTCAACATTAGAGTTAATAGATGTTAATGAAAGATTTGTCGCCGGAAATGGTTCACTGTGTCGCTTATGCTTAAAAATTATATTTTCCCCTAAAAATGTATTTATGAAAGAAAGACCGACAAAATTTTTAAAAAATCGAAACCCTACGATCAAATTTCTCAACTTTAAAATATAGGCCTAACTTTAAAATATAGGCCTAACAACTGATATTTCTTCTTTATTCTTCGAGATATCTTCTCCTAAATCTTGGTTTGAAGCAATAGATAATGTAAAATAGAGGCGAAATGAGCGAAAAATACAGTTTTTTTCAATTTATTGTTATATTTAGAAGATATCTTCAGAGCAGATTTTTCATGTTGTTAGATGTTTGGAATGAAATGGTGACTTAATCCCAACATGTACACAGCTATAGTAGGTCCTATTCTTATATACTATCTCTTGTATGGCGAAATTCAACTAAGAAGATTTTTGTTATAGATCAGCTATACAAAGTTCAGAGATCAGCATGCATTGGCCTTCAGAAGCTCAGAACACTGAATTGCACATCCTACCTATAGATCTGCATTTAATGGCCATATCTGCTTGTAGCGCAGCAACGCTTAACTCATCCGACTATATTACCCCACACACGAACTTTGATAGAGTTTTCAAAGTCAGAGTTACTTCCAGGAGCGATTGTTGGTTCTAGTGTCTTCTGTGTAGATGATGGGGTAAGTACATCTCACCGTCTTCCCAACAACTGCAGTGTCTTTCAAGCTGAAATATTTGCGATAATGTCAGCCTTAGGTTACTACAGGACCTCAATATTCGCGGCACTTCTCTCACTAAACACTTATACTACCACTTCCCTATTAATTAGACAATGCAAGAAGGATCTGTCAAGGCAGGGTCGCCTGTCTGATATTACCCTTGTATGGATCCCTGCACTTAAGGACTACTATGGTAGTGAACAGGCGATAAGCTTGCCAGAATGGGATCTGCTCTTGATATTTCCAACGACGTTTCAGTAGCACCACCGTTAGGTTTTATCAAGAGCAGTATCCTCAGATTCTTTCTTAAAAAGGCTAAAAATAGGTAGAATCACTTAGACACATGTAAAGGAGCCAAGTCATTGCGGCCTTCATTCAATGAGAAACACAGAAGACACCTTATAAACCGAAGTAGACGGGATATGTCGAGGTTGATAGCAGTAATAACAGGAAACTGGGTGATAGGCAGACATGCAAGTCGGTCTTCCATCTTTTATGTGAATGCCCTGCTCTGACCATAAAGAGAACTAACAAGCTAACCAACCAACCATAGTAGATTTTTAAAAAATTCATAAAGTATTTATTTGTCCATTAGAATACAATTACAAATTATATTCTAACCTAATTTACCGAGCAAGGTGACGTTGACCATAAGCCCGTTGTAGTATAGCAGACCAGAGTTTCTGGTGGGAATCGAACCCACAACCCCCAGACTGACAGACTAGCCGTCGGCTAGCCAACTATCCTACCGAGGCACCCAATTAAAAAAGTATTTTCATAGGAAAAATTTTGAAAATTTGAAATGTATAAGTTTGTTTTGTAAAATAGAGGCGAAATGGACAGTTTTTGTCAATTTATTGGTGAAGATAAATCGAAGAAGAGAGAAGATATGTCAAATGTCCCCTATTCTTAAGTTGATAGAATGGACTTTCAGATGACTTTCAGACATTTTATAAATAAAGTTGTTGAAATTGGAAAGAGTATCTGTGAAAATATCTCTCAATTACATTTAAGGTAAAACCAACCTCATTATAATACATACATGGACGAACGCATGCCACATACAATCACTGAAATATTCGACGCTCCTCACCACATTTGTAACGGTGGAAACTTACCTACATAAAACTATCTTTCTGAAAATACCATATTTTCAATATTGTCTTCTTTGAATAAAATGCAACTCAAGTTTTTCTAAAAATGTATACTTGATTTTAATCTAATTAATTCTTATATTTACACGATAATATTGAAAGATATTCATAATTAATAAAAATTATTTACACTGTGTATTTTATTTGCTCAATATTGATCTTGATCTTTAGGAATATTCGTTGTTGTTCATTGAGCGAATCATATCAATGAATGTTCTTAAATGTTTAATAATAATAATTATATGAGAAATATTTAAATCAAATACTTTTGTAATCTTACATTAGTTAAGTTTAGATTTGAAAACAGAATTAACGAAAAAAAAGTTATACACATCACACATGTCAATATATAAAATTTTAGTTCCGCCCAAGATTACACCATTTTCATTCGCCCGCGATCTGAATGTCGGCGATCGTACAAGCATTCAATGTGTCATTGGCACCGGTGATCTACCGCTCACATTCACCTGGCTTAAGGATGGAAAACCCCTACAGACGGCGGGGACTGCAGTGATGCAGTCTACGCACAGTGCACGCGACAGCGGCAGTGTTAGCGGTAGGATTAGTGGTACCGGTGACGTTGCTGCACCGGGCTCCGGCTCACATACGACATCGATCAACTATGCCCATGCCCACACCCATGGTGTCATGTCCTACACGAATGATGATGGTAGTAGCGGTGGTGAAGGAGGCGGCGGCGTAGTGACAATTCGCCAAAATGATGATTTCACCAGTGCCCTCAGCATAACAAGTGTGACGAGGGCTCAGAGCGGCACCTACACATGTCGCGTCCAAAATGATGCCGCAACCGTATCGCACTCTGCACAGCTAAGAGTTAATGGTATATGATGAATGCATGTCTAAGTATATAGCGTTGCACACATATAATGCATATATTTATGTTAAAATAACAATATTTAAATTATGTAGCATGTGTTTAATTGTTGAACGTATTTATAATTTGTTTGTTTCCATTATATTTTATGCCTGCCTATATTAGAACTGAAGCACTAAAAATTTAATTATAAGAATTATTTTTTTGTATTTTTAAGTTGGGGTTTCTTTAGTCTTTCTTCCCCTACTGCTCTTTTTGAAAGAATCTGAACTGTATTCAATTATGTTTTTATTTTAGATCTTTAATATTAAATTCTACATGAAATGTCTCTCTTAAACTTTCTTTAGTTCCGCCACGTATTTCACCCTTTAGTTTTGAAGATGAAATAACCGAAGGTATGCGTACGCAACTCATGTGCTCGAGCAGTCAAGGTGACCAGCCTTTCAATATTACTTGGCTCCGGGATGGTGTTCCCATACAAAGTGGCAATGTGGATGGCCTTAACAATCAACATGATTCGCATAGCGGTGCCGGTGGTAATGGTGTTTTTAAATCACCTGATCCTTCGTTGACAATCAATGAGTATGCGCCCTTCTCAAGCATTCTCTCCATACACAATGTCACATCTCGTCACAATGGCAACTATACATGTCTCGTAACAAATCGTGCTGGATCTGTCGAATATGTGGCCATGCTTTCCGTATCCGGTAAATTGTATAAAGATAATAATGAAAACTATTTCTAAATGTGGCACTTGAATAATTCTAACGATCACCTCTTCACAATTATAGCACAAAATATGTACTCATATCTGCAATGTTTGTTAACGAAAAAAATGGATTGTATTGCATTAAATAAGTATTTAATTATAATTAAATAATTATTTATTTTATATATAGGAGTAGTATTTTAGTAATTAAATCCAGTTTGTGTACTGATAATATTCAAAAAAAAAAAAAAAAAAAAAACAATCGGATAGTTCCATTTATATAAAGCTAATAACAATTTGAATTTGCCACTTTAAATTTGTATGAAACGCGGAGTCTGAATAGTGGCATCTTTTCTTTTAATCAATATATAGAATAAATCATATCTCAAAATTGTACACGAATAATATCCATTTTAGGTTATTTATATAAAAATGGGAGGAACTAAAATAGTGGGCGTGGCATTTAAACGTTCTACTTAAAGAAAAATTTTAGTTCAAACAAAAATATAAAAAAAATATTGTTTAAATTGAGATAAATGCACTGGATTAAAATGTCGCCAAATACTTACTTCAACAAACTATATTTTTGACTCCTAAAACCTATGCGAATATTAGAGATGAAGACGTCAATTTGATCAGTGGAATGGCGGTAATCCGTTATTTCGACCGATATGAGTCGAAATTAATGACCATTTGGTAAATAGTTTCGATTTTTTATGCATTCATTTAAATAGAATTTCCTCAATACAATGCAATACATTCCAATTACAAACGTTTCAAACGCAAATTTAACGGAGAGCACAAATAATGCCACCATAAATATTAAAAAAAAGTAAAGCACGCAGCACGGATCGATCTCCACAACACAGAGCGCACCGTATTCATTCACTGCATTCCAATGCAAACGTAATAGATGAGCACTTTGTAACACTGTATCTCTATGTCTGATCTATTTTTATGTTCGATTTATCATTTCATTTTATGTAAACTTGTATTTCAGTACTTCTTCACTTTCTCATCTTAAGTTAATTATGATTTAGTTTCAATTTCATTTAAAAAGTATTAATTATGAAATTTTTAAAATTTGAACAAAAAATCTTAGTTTTTTGGTAAGTCAAAATTAGAAAAATATTGTATCAATTGAAAAAATTTGAATAAAAAAAGTTATAATCAAATATTTATCAAAACTTATACTTATATATACATAAATAATATGCATGAATTTGAGCACTAAAATTTTACTGCGAAAAATTAAATGATTTCTTCAATTAATACTAAATACAAATTGTGTAATAGTGCCTCCACGATGGATTATAAAACCAGCCGATCAAGATGCCATTCTGGGCAATCCGGTTGTAATACGTTGTCAGGCGGATGGTTTTCCAGTACCGACAGTACAATGGAAACAATCAATTGGTAGGTATTGGACTTGATTGATCACAGTAACAGACAATATTCATAGTCATACAAGAATTCTGCAAGAATTGTACTAAAAAATAAGAATTTAATAATAAATCCTTAATGATTTTCATTAAAAACTATATTAAAATTTATATAAATTTAGGAGATTCTGGAGAATATAGAGAACTTAGTTATAGCATTCCTAATGGCAACTCTAAATCAGTGATCGAAACTCACAACAATGGATCTTTAATAATACCAAAAGTAGGACGAGAACATGAAGGTAGTTATTTGTGTCAAGCAAATAATGGCATAGGTGCTGGTCTCAGCCAACTTATTAAACTGACGGTTCATGGTATATTAAAAAAATACATATTTATTGTTAAGACAATTATTTAAAAATAATTCATTCTTGTTAAGTGGGCCCTACTGTTACGGTATCGAAGAAACAAGTCACTGTTAGAAGAGGTGATCGTGTTACATTGCGTTGTGAGGCTGATGGCGACCAACCTTTGGATATATCATGGCGTGCCAAAGCTAATCGTATTGATCCTTCATTTGATGTTCGTTATCATATAAAAGATTCGCCTCTAAGTCGGGGTATAGTTTCGGAGTTAACTATATTGCAGACTATACTCAGCGATCGTGGGGAATATACTTGTATTGCCAGCAATTCATATGGTCATGACCGGGCTGTTATACACTTACAGGTTCAAGAGCCTCCTAATTTTCCCGTCAATTTACATGCAACTGATTTAGGAAGTCGCTCCGTGACTCTGGCTTGGTCACCCAATGACCAGGACACAGTGTCGTTAGGTGGCAACAATCGAGATTCTCAGCCTATATCAAATTATATATTGCAATACAAAAAAGCTGGAGGTAAGGTTAATTTTAAAAACTATTTTTGAAAGTAAACTCATCATATCTTTGCAGATGTTTGGCATGAGGGTAACAATCAAAAACTTCTACCAGGCGATAAAACTACCGCACAAATTGGTTCTTTGCGTCCAGCTCAGGCGTATCATTTTCGTTTATATGCTGAAAATCATTTAGGCACTAGTGCGCCTAGTGATATACTGCTGGTACAGACAGATGCAGAGGCTCCTAGTGGTAGACCCCAAGATGTATCCGCTGAACCATTGGGACCACAGCAGCTGCTTATTACTTGGCGTCCACCGGAGCGTGACACCTGGAACGGCGAACTTTTAGGTTATACAATTGCCTACCAAAAACATGGTTCTTCGGATAATTTTCAAAACTTTACAAAGGTTAGCAGTCTCGGTGGTGAAGGTCTTAATGATTT